CAGATAAATCGGAATTGAGTGAATGACTGGGGTCATTGAGTAGCATATGAGCGAAATTCTAACATGAAGTGATATACAAATTTGTGATCAGAGTGTTTAAAGGTATAAAGAAAACACGGCTGATAATCACCAAACCGCGACGTAAAGTAATGAAGTCCTTTCTCAGTAGACCAGGGAGAATAACGGGCAAAAAATAAAGTACGATAGGAAAAATGCAGTGATAAACAAAGGAACATACAGTTTCATGCTTGACGCGAAATTGTCGTAGCTTGTGTATTTGAAAAGATAAGCGATGCTGTCTAGCAACACAAGCAAGCATATGAGAGGACCACCGTAGATTGCTATTTATGGCAACTCCTAGGTATTTCGTGATACGTGTTCTGGCGATAAAGAAAAACTGCGAGAGATATCGAAAATCGATGACTCGTCCTTTTGGTTTAGTTTAAAATTGTGAGAATGACTTAGGATTCTCTGTCTGTATCTTCAGTTTTCAGATAAATTTGGTTTCAAATTCAAATGTGAGCACTGAGAGAGGGAGCTGATTGATTTTTGAATAGGTGGCGAAATTACCACTGCTTATGGTCACAAACAATCCTTCAGAATTGGGTAGAAAATAAGGCTGGGCAGATCAGCTATCTATCATTTCGCGGGGGGGGGGGGNGGTTTCCTTTGAGCAATCTGTTGGTCTTCAATTGGAGCAATTATATCAGTTTTTGTTGTGACCAACAACGCGCGTACATGTCACTGCTACTGACTTCATATGATAGGTAGATCATACCAGTCAATCAGAAACCGTGCGGCCCAGGCAGAAGCAGAACAATGGGAGCAATACTGGAACGCGATTGATAGAAGCCCGTAAAACCAATGAACTTACTCTGTACATATTATTCAATCACCCTCATTTCTTCCAATAAATGAAATACTACTCCTGTAGCGTTTTCCTCTCTCAGTCACGTGGGATATTGCGTGCTAGTGCCAGTGAGGTACAGTGATCACGTGACCCAGTTCGTGATTTATAATCCTTGTTTCGTATTCCGCGATCCGTATTGCGTGATTCGTGTTCCAAATTCAGTGCGTGCGACTATTACTACTACTACTACCACTACTACTACTACTGTCGTAGGATACTACTCACTTGTGAGTAGTAGGTAACTTTCGATGATCAAAAATATAACAAGACCATCAAGGACAAAGTGATATGTTTGGAAGAACAATTACTGACTGCTCTATCTATAAATTACCCTATGTGTCGGAAAGACTTACGATGGCACGTTTCTAAATGGCTTGTTACCAAATTCGACACGATCCCGCTGTCAGGCTCGAAAACGAAGGGGTTGTCAGGCATGAGTTCAGAAACAACTCACACGAATGTGTCGCCGTCGTTCCAGCCAGTGGTGAAATGATACTCCCATCTGTTCACGGACGATGATGACCCGTGCGGTTTCTATAACTGGGTCGAACACGAAATCCCAATGAAGACAGGAAAATTTCGAGCTTATGTCTCACACCAAATTCCACTACAGTTGGAGGACGAAGTCAAGCGGCAGGTTGAACAAACGTTGAAAGAAGGAATCATTAAAGAAACTCGGAGTCCGTATAACCTGCCGGTGCCGTTAGTCAAAAGGCTCAAAGGCAAATTTCGGTTCTGTTTCGATTTCCACGAAGNCGAAGTAAACACTGTAACTGTAAACAAGCCAGTCCAAGTCCCGACTGTGGCAGAAATTTTTGACCAATTGCAAAGCACGAAAGTGCTCTCAGTTGTGTATCTACGATGGGGATATTGGCAAGTACCAATACAGAAAACCGATTGAGAGGAAACGGCGTTCACAGTCGGCTGAAGTTACTCGGTGTCCCCAACGTGGTGGTGTATTGTTGTCTGCAGTCAACCAACAACCGAACACACATTCTACTTGGAAACTATCCTGAAACGAGTCCAAGAATCTGGCTTTCGGATTAATGGATGGAAGTCCAGAATTCGGCAGCCGAAAATGATTTTACCTGGGCACAAGGTTGTAAACGGAGAAGTGAGGCCACTTCCTGAGAAGATCCTCAAGTTAAAGGAGTTTGCACGCCCAACATCGAAAAGAACATTAAGACGGTTTCTGGGTTGTGCGGCATACTATAGCCTGTTTGTCAAAAACTTTACGAATATTGCTGAACCGCTATACGCCTTGCTCAAGAAGAAGTCTCGCTTCAGCTGGACACCAGGGGCCCAGAAAGTTTTCGATGAACTCCAAAGGATCATGACCGAACAACACCTGACACTGAAGTTGCCGGTGATTGGCGAGCGCTTCACAGTGGTAACGGATGCCAGTGACGTTGGAGTGGGAGCCGTACTCAAATAAGCAAGTGGAGTGGTAGAGTACGCACGTAGGGTCCTTACTCCAAAGGAAAGGAAATATTCCGCCACGGAAAAAGAATGTCCTGCAATCGTTCGGGCCGTAGACAAGTGGCGGCCATACCTTCTGGGTCAAAGGTTCCATATAAATACAGACCACAAGCCGCTGGAGTGGATTGAAACCGCCAAGGACCCGAGAGGAAAACCTGCCCGATGGGCGCTTCGCCTTCAGGAGTAGGACTTCACGATCAATCATGTTGCAGGTGCCAAAAACTATATGGCGAACATTTTATCTCTTCAGGGGAAGCAGCTTCCTTCAGTGTCAGTATGCTGGCAGTGGCGTAAGACCCGCAAGAATTGATGGAAGAACAGTGCAAGGATCAAGAACTTCGCAAAGTGATCGAGGCCATCTCACAGGGCAAGCAATACCGAAACATTCAACATAGTACACACATGAAGTCATAGAGATCCGTATGGA